TTTTGGTACAGGGACCTTCCGATTTCTGGATCTACAGGGGAATCGACTAATCCGGAATCGAGTTGGGTAGGACTACAAGGACGGCAAAGCTCTCCCTCAAGAGTTTTATTTGTTCAACTATAGGAACGTTCATTTTCACTTTAGTCATAAACTAGTAAACTTTGGGTACAATATTTTGCATTTGAAAGAAGAGCATACTTCTGAAATGACTCGATTGGGCTTCAGTTAGCAAAACTGTGACTGGCCCACTAAATTAATACAAATGTTCAACATTGAGGACCCATAAACACACGACTTTAAAGGCCCATAAATATGGACTCCGTGTGAATCAGATTTCATCATACGCTGGGCTTCAATTTATTCTGGCCCATTAAAATAATTCAAGTTCATATTTATGGGCCTTTAAAGTCGTGTCTTCATGTTTCGTTTGATCGAAGATTTTTCCTTAATTAATTGGAGAAAAAAATTATATTCAATTAATATTTTTTTTTCTTTTGAATTACATCAACAAAATTTTAATTTAGTTTAAGTGTTACTAAATTAAAAATCATGTGAATAATAATTATTTTGTTATTCTTTTTATGCCATCATCAGGCCCCATTTTAAATCCCATGTAGGATTAGTTTACACTGTTCTTTTTTCCCATTTGTCAAAAGGATGGGAATTGGTTGTCAATATGCTAAAATTGCAGTTACCATCCCTGAAAAAAGGTAACACATCCCTACCTTACATCTGGCATAATAATTGACGGTTTCCTAAAAAAAAAAAAAGAAATTAAAAACACATATGGTAAGTCAACATACCCTAATAATGAGTTTGTTGAGTAGAAATAGGAAACATAACTAGTTTTAATTTCAAACGAACTTAGCGTATAACTATTTACAAATCCCATAATTCTAAATACATATTTCGCCAAATCAAGTATTTTTGCAGGTCGAACTGGTTTTTGTTTATTTTTAAGCCTCGCATAGTGTTAATACCGTATATTAAACGTATATGTTCTGTTCTTTTTCTTGTGTTTTTCTTGTATACATAATATATACATAATATATACGAAATAACCTAGTAATTTTATCTTTTCCTAATTCTTTTTTGTTTCACGATAAGACTTATATACATAATATATACTCATTATATACTCAACATATACATATATGATATATTCAGTGATTATAAACAAAACATATACTAGTTGTACACATAGGAGTAGCCTTATTCCTCTCCTCCCTTCTTGTACTCGAGCAACAACAGCCAGAGGGCCTTCCGCATTTGAGTAGCCTTCAAGCATCCCATCGCGAACACTTTAATTTCACTTGTTGAAGAGACCACCGACGACGGCCCCACATACGAACAGCACCGCGTCGGAGAGCCGAATATTCTTCACTTTCACTCACTTTGGCTTGAATTTCATCCTCGAAATCTAAATCTGGTGACTTTTTTTTTTCGATCGACCCAATTTCTTGTCGAACTGCAATTTCTTTTGTACAAGGGTTGGGTGCGTGTTTGATTTCATATTCCTTAGACGGGAACTCGACCTCCGATGAGGTGAACTTTCGGCTCCTGATGGATGGGCTTCTTCCAAATTTAGTCTTTGCCATTGTTGTTGAGCTTCAAGGGAGATAGGGTTCGATGTTGACGATGAGGTATTAGTTGGAGAGAGATTAATTATGTGAGATAATTCTATCACCATATTACTTTTCTGGCAGATCTGCAAATAAAAAGTATAATTTGATTAATATTGCTAATATTTATAATTTGAGATTAATTGTGTAATAAAAAGTCAAATATATGGTGTATTGAGTAATTTTCTCTTTTTTTTTTCAAACATAGATTTCATTGCTAGAACACATCCCAACGGAAGAATAGACATTCCAAGACGGAGAAAAAAACACAAACGCACATTTACGATACAATACAAACCAAAAACTAAATTAAAAAACACAAAAAGCTACCAAAAAAGCCCTTCCCACAACAGCTAAACAAAGTCCAAACAAAATCGACGCCGACACCACGAGCAGCCACCCATTAAGACAGAAACTCGGTCCATGTCACGAAGCTAGAAACTGCAAAATAAACGCCTAACTAGAATCGAGACAAAAAAACCTTGCCCAGCCCAGGTAGACAACTCGAGACCCTCAACCGGAGATCAACAACAAGCTCCACCATTCTAGCTGCGACAACCCAGGCCCAGGCAACGAGACCCGACCCGGAATCTGCCAATGCAACCGAAAGCCCCAAAAGCAGAGAAATCGGAGAAAGAAGGGAAACGGAACGGCTCAATCTCAGCCCGACCACCTCACAAGAGACATCGAAGCCACAACCCTTGATCTCAGACGCGCCAAAAACTCGCCGACCACCTCAGCTTTAATAGTTTACTAGTACGTGACCCGCGCGTTGCGCGACTTGACATTAAAAATAATTTAGGTGAATTATAATTTGATATACATAAAATACGTATAGAGTTAAAATCGGTGACTCCGGGAAACAACATATAACTGATTGTGAGTACAAAATACTATATGTTTTTTAAAAAAATATAATTAAATTAAAATAATAATTTATGATATTCAACGAAAAATATTTTTCACATTAATTACACTCCTTGAAACTTCATCATTCTCGCATAATAAAGACATTATTACTATTATATAGGTAAACTGATATGAAATAATTGAAATAAACATGTAGAAATATGATCCAGTTAAAAAATATAATTTGAATAAGTAAAATAAAAAACAAAAATGACTCAATTTGAACTGCATGTTTCAAATTAGGTCCACATATTTTTCTCTCTCTTTTTTTTTTTAAAAAAAAAATTATCTAAATAAATTTTAGTAATTTTTTTCAGACTGACATGCAAGGTGGATCACCTTTTGCAAACTTACAAATAGGCACAGTAGTCGTTAATATTCATGTCAATAACAAAGTTATTTATTTTTTGCGCACAATTAATGTGAAATAAAATTTAATATAATTTTTGGAAGTGAATTCATAAGATAAAAAAAGAATACATACAAAATACACTATATATATTATAAGAAAGTATATTATTTTTATAAAACTAATATTTATGATATATGATAAGAAAAAAGTAGTTGATGTATTATAGTAAGCCTTATTGAATTTTATTGCAACAAATTAGTAACGATA